CCAGCATGTTTCTTGTACCTTACTGCAAAACAGTTGTTTAGCAGTAGAAATAATCTTCCTGCTTTTTTGCATGGGCTGTGTTTGGTTGTCCTTTGAAGAGAAGCAACAAATCACTCGAATTTGAGCTTCCTGAATAAAAGAGTTATTTTGCAGTTTATTCCTGCAATTTCCATTTCCGTGCTGTTCCCAAGTGTATTGAGAGTCAGACCTAACAACTTAGTGTTGTGCAGTTAATTTCTGTTGTTTCTTACTCCTGCTAATCCCACAGATCAAACTGATACAAGAAGAGACTACGTCTCTCTTGGTTCCTCCCACATGGGGAAGGTGATGATCTATTTGATTTCTTGTTGCTTCCAGTGGTGACCTACAGCCACAACAGGAACTCAGGGGTGTCCCTGGGAGCAGAATAAGATGAGAGTCAGATTTCACTGAAGAAAAGATTGGTCAGAAAAGTCCTTATTGCTGGTGACTGCACAAGATTGAAAGAGCGTGACTTGAGCCTTAACTTCCTGTAGGCTGTTTGTGGCAGAAGCTAGCACATTTTTTTTTTTGCTTGTAAATTGGAGCTGAATGGAATCATCTGCAGTTGCTAAAAAGCTCAGTAAATGGAAGCCACTCTTCACGCCATCTTCTAATCATGTTTCAGAGTAGAACAGTCGTTTTATGTTTGACATTTAGTGAAGAGTGTGCAAAGCCCAAAGTAGCATCTGGCTTTCAAAGAGCACATTGAATGCAGTGTGTGTCACCCATATGGTATGTATTTGTTGCTGGTGCCTTCCAAGTGGTTTCTGCAATGACAAGGTTCTGGGCTGGGTTTGCGCTTGCTCCCCAAGGATTGTTGAGGAGATCTGTCTCTCGTTCTTTCTTGTCTTTTGCTAGTATCACGGGGGCATGCCAAGCCATACAGAAACTCACCCGCGTGCGAGTGGTGGACAACAGCACCCTGGGGAACACGCCGTACCACCGGCCACCAAAATGTATCCACGTGTATAACAAGACTGGAGTTGGCAAAGTAGGAGATAAAATCCTTCTGGCTATCAAAGGAGAGAAGAAGAAGGCTTTGATTGTAGGGCACAAGATGCCTGGTCCCCCCATGACGCCTAGATTTGATTCCAACAATGTGGTACTCATAGAAGACAATGGAAATCCAGTAGGGACTAGAATAAAAACCCCAATACCCTATATCCTGCGACAGAGAGAAGGAGAGTTCTCCAAAGTATTGGCCATTGCCCGCAATTTTGTATGAAAGCTAAGGAAGCTTTTTGGCCATTCTGGTTATATACAGTAGCTGTTCCTTGGTCCTTTTCTAGAAAATGGTGAAACATGAAAAAGTTGACTCATCCAGAGTCTCTCTGTTTAAGAATTACTAGCAACTTGTTTAAATATTGAAATACCTTGGATTTTTTCCAAAATAAGGTTGATTTGTTTCACAAAACTTTTGCATTGTGTTGGGGAAATGTTCCTTCACTCTCACTGCTCCAGTGGTGTGTATTTGGGCTCTAATCATTAAAATGAGAACAATGAAAATCCTTCTTGTTTTATTCTACTCTTACTCTCTTTTCCCTATTTCTGCCTTTCCCAGTCCCACAGAAGCAAGACACAAAGTGCAGTTCCTGGCCCAATGATACTGGGGTCTACAAAATGGATTCACATGTGATGGACTAAGATATATAATGAACTATTGGTGCCTTGGGTACATTGAATAAAAGGATTAGTTTCTACATCTTTGCCTAAGAGAAGCTGCCAGTGGTGGTGTACCTGAGATCAGTGCTGGAGCTCATGCTGAAGATGGTCTTAAATAAGGGCCTGGGTGTCCCTTCCCATGTGGGGAAGCCAGCAGTTCAATGGCAGCCAGGCCTTCCCCCTCCCTCAGAGCTTGGTGCAGGAGAGATGACACCTCTTGGCAAGGGTTGGTGGTGGGGGTTGCCAAAGAAGGGCCCACACAACCCTTGATAATCAACAAAATAACTGTTTATTGGTAGGAGGGGTTGCAGGTGAGCTTGTGGGAAGTCCAGAGAGCTTTTTCTTACTTGAACAGAACTTTCCCCTTGTGAACCCATGTTGGACATGGTGAATCACTGTATTGTCTCTCATGCCTGGGCCTCACACCAGGACGAGCTGTGGTCCAGAAGCCAAAGCGCTATCTTTATATGGAGCTCAAGCAGGGAAACTTGGTGCCCGTGACAGGTGAAGGGACACTGTCTTCGGCAGCACAGCTGTTAGTAGGAGCACTCCACCCTCCCTGTCATGCTGGGAAAGCTCTTTGCCTTGTCCCTATGTAAAGATGTGAGGACTGCAGTGCTGAGCTATACCACACTAACTCCTGACAGATGTATGGAATCTGTATTGCCCCTGGAAAAGGTGAGGTGTGAATCCCCGTGTACTCCACTACTCTGGGTAATACAGATAAAATGATACTTCCAATTTACGTTTAGTCTCAACCTCTAAGTAACAGCACTGTCCACCTTAGTGAAACTTCCCTGTGAACTGGAGGGGCCCAAGCCCTTGTGTGGTCCAGTTCAGTGGGAAAGCAGAATCGGCTGCTGCCAAAAGCATGTGCCTTGCTTGCTGTTGTCCATGGGCCAGTTGAAGCTGGGTCTGTGCTGTGAATCCTCCTGAACCCCACGGGCATTGCTGTTAAGCCCCCAGCCTGCTCACTGGGCCTTCTGCCCACTGGCACAGCACTTGCTTGGCTGATGTCAGTCTTTCCAGTCTATCTAAGCGCTGTTGACATCAGGGAGGAACTTTCCATGCTGGGAAGTGATGTTTGTGCCACTTTGCTGAGCAGGACGGTGAACAAACTGTGCTGGTCACAGCAATGACCATGACTAGCCTTCCTGTCTCGGGTGGGGTTTGCCTCGGTGCCACAGGGCATGGCCTGGCCTGACTGCCTGGGCATCGTTCACAGACTTTGTTATCCCATGGCTGAGTTTGTTCACCGATCAGCTCCCGGTGCTCACGTTTCGGGATGAGCAGCTGTTCAAAGAGCGACTTCCCAGCCCTTTTGCGATGCTCGGTGCAGCACCTCTCGATGCCTGACAGCGGGCTTCCCCGCCGGGGCCCTGTCCATCCCCGGGAGGGCTCTGCCAGCCCCTCAGGGCCCTGTCGGTCCCTGGGAGAGCTGTGCCCGTCCCTCAGGGCCTGCCCGGCTCGGCAGGTTGTGCCGGGCCCCTCCTGCGAGCCGGCCGGGCCCTCTAGTGGCTCCCTGGCGGGTCCCGCATCCCGCCTCTCCCCGCTGCCGGGGGACAGGCCGAGCCCAAAGGCCTCAGCGAGTGCGGGATGCACCGGTCGGATCGCGGCGCCGGCGGAGTTTTGTGCTGGGCTGCCCGGGTTCGGCTGAAGGGTGGGGAGGTCAGCACTGTGCCCTGCCATCGGCGGGGAGATCTGCACAGCCCACCTTGGGTGTGGTTTTCAGCCTTTTCAAAGCTCATCCCAGCAGCAGGCTAAAGTATTTGGGGGGAAAAAAAAACAACAAACCACTATATTTTTATGCATATTTACAGAAAGTATATACACCACATAACAGCTCTGTCGTCTTGCTTTAGAAAACCTGCAACATTTGAACACCCCCGACCCCAATAAACACATTAAAAAATACTTTAATAGTTTTTTTTTAAATAAGAGAATCATAAGCCAGTTGACAAATCTAACATGTCCTTCCTGCGGACAGAAGGAGCTTAGATATCCTCAGTGTAAATCCTTTTGAGAACTGAGAAGGAGGTGGCTTGCACTAATATAGTGCTGGAAAATATACTTTCAAATGGCACTTGTACAGGGTAGTTAATTTTTGTGCAAAGGCTGAGGGCACAGTAGCAGTGAGGTCCATCCCAAGCTGGAACACCTCGGTCCCAGCTAGCTTGGTTTATAGCTCCTCTGAAGGGCTGCCTTATTGTGAGGTTTGCCAACAACTCCAGCCTTGAAGTGTCTCCCAGAAGGACCTGGGGGTCTGCATAAAAATCCTTGTTTTCTTGTCGTGCCCATAAAGTTTATGGAGTCCCTCATGGGATGCACAAACCCTGCTGTTTGGATATTAAATGTTTCACAGAATACTTGCTAATAACTTCCCAGTGTTTCACTGGGGAAGAGGTCATGGGGAGAGGGCACGAGAGGAAGCGGGCAAGACAATGCAGCATACTTGAGATTAAAATGTGAAGTGATGCTTTCTTTCTAAGAAAACTGATATGTGGAACTAAATCCTTAACCTCGGAGCTTAATAAGCAGACAGGCAGACAGCAAAGCTAAGCATATCCCGTAGAGCGTCTCCTACAGTTTTTACCCGGCTTTCCCTAACAAGGATTGTGGCCTCGGCAGAAATCCCTGGCCCATGGAGAGAGCTCTGTGCTTGGCAAATTCCAGGCACAGCCTGCAGTAGCATCTTTCCGAGGGGAAAGGGCCTGGCTTGTGGATGAGACCTCAGTCTGCTCCCACCCATCCCACTGAATTTGCCCTGCCGTGGCTGCAGGAAGGTCAGATCCTGACTGCCCCAGTGCTGCTCTGGCAGCCAAGCTGCACAGGCAGGAGCACATGGATGGCGTCTTGCCAGCAGCCCAAGCTGGT